TCAAACACCCAATTAATTTAGTTATTGCAACAATGTATGCATTCAATTATACATACTTTTCCATCTAAAAGTGACCAGTCACATGCACTTGTAGCATATATGAAATGATTATGACAACCATTACATGACCCTTTCCCAGAATTTAATGGATACAACCACACTAATAGATCCATCATTTCATGCAAAACTAATAAGGAAACGCCCCTGTTTCATGGTGAAAAGAATAAAATATCAGGAATTTAACAGCATCAATTTGACATATGCAATACACCATCAATATGAGTATACAATTCCCAATTAAAATTTTACACGTTTATGTACTTACACCATGACAATTCCCATATTCTAGAGAGAAATGCACCGCAAGATTCATCTTAAGATTGTAGAAAAACTAAATCAATATTGTGTATATTATATTCACAAAACATGTCATTTATGTTCACGAAATCGAAACGCAAATTTCGTCTTACCGAAATGAATTTGGGAAGATGAAATGACAAATTCAATCATTTCCTTTCTTTATTTCAAACCTACTTGAAATAAAAAAAAACGTTATTAATTTTCTAAAATCAAATACAAAGAAAGAAATCAGAAAGAATTAAGGTGAGATGTGAGTGATGCGATCGGTCGAGGCAATGTCCTTAAGATGAATTTTTCCCGCATTGGTGCTAACGATTTTTCGACAATCATCTCCCAAGATACAACAACCACGTCAAGCCATAGGACCACTCCAAATGACTTAGATCAACGAACTCGAACGGAGTTCCCTCTCTATCATAACCATGACTTTGATGCAAGTGTTTTATACAAACTAAAGTGTAAGCATGAAATGGAATGATATGGAACTATCTATTGACTTTTATGAATTTCTTGAATGATAAAATTCAGACACATGGGGTCTATATATAGTAGTTGGAGAGATATGTTAAAAAATACAACCATACCAAGAGTCACATCTCTTAGAATTCATAATTATTGGAAAATGATTATGCTAAAGGTCATGACCGTTCATATGAAAATACATCTTTTCATCCAACTCTTTTCTAGAATATTTCACAATATTCTATACAATTTTCCAACAATTTCAAGTATTAAGTAGTTTACATTTGACTTAGTTTCTCATTCACCAAATTAAGAATTCCACTTAAATAATCATGTAAAATTGGTCACAACCAATTTTCAATACAAAATTCCAACGAATATTGGTTGCAACAACCACATAAGTGGATGTAAGTCTTCCTTTGTGAATTTAGATGAAAATTTTAATTCAGTTGTTAGTTTTGGGGATAAATCAACTGTGAATCTAATGGGAAATGGAGAAATTCAAATAAGGACTAGGAATGATTTCATTGAAACTATTTCAAATGTTTTTACATTCCTGATTTGAAAACAAATCTTTTGAGTGCTGGTCAGTTACAAGACAAAGGATATAAAATCACAATTTTTAAGGGAGAATGTGAGGTGTATGATCCAAAAAGAGGCTCTATTACTGTTATAAAAATGACTCCAAACAGGTTGTTTCCTTTAAAGATCAGGACCGTACAAGCTTGCTTGTTGTCTAAAGAAGATGACTCATCATGGAGGTGGCATTATAGATATGGCCACTTGAATTTTAATGGCTTGAGGACTCCTCATCAGAGGTAGATGGTTACTAGTCTTCCAACAATCACATTTCCGTCAAAAACTTGTGAAGAACGTGTTATTGGGAAGCATCAAAGGGATACATTTCCTAATGGAAGAGCAGAAAGAGCTCGAGCTGTACTTGAATTGGTTCACTCTGACATATGTGGACCAATCAATCCAAGTTCAAATGGTAAAAAGAGATACTGTATATCTTTTGTAGATGATTTGAGTAGGAAAACTTGGGTGTAATTTTTGCAGGAAAAATCAAAAGCTTTCCATGCATTTAAGAGTTTCAAGGCTCTTGTTGAAAATGAGACTGATAAAAGGATAAAGACTCTCAGTACAGATCGAGGAGGAGAGTTTTGCTCTAATGAGTTTGATGCATATTGTGAAGCAAATGGAATAAGGAGACGGTTGACCACTTCACACACACCACAACAAAACGATGTATGTGAAAGAAAGAATAGAACCATCCTCAATATGGTTGGAAGCTTGCTAGCTACAAAAGAAGTTCCAAAATAGTTTTGGCCTGAAGCAGTGTTGTGGTCAATCCATGTTTTAAATAGAAGTCCAACATTTGCGGTGAAAAACATGACACCTCAAGAGGCATGGAGTGGAAAAAAGCCTTCAGTTGAGCATTTTAGAATATTTGGGTGCATTGCATATGCATATATACCTGATGAAAGAAGAAAGAAACTTATTCTAAGAGTGAAAAATGTGTGTTTCTTGGAGTAATTGAAACTTCAAAGGCTTATAAGTTATTTAATCCTGTAATAGAAAAGGTGATAATAAACAGAGATGTAGTGTTTAATGAAGAAGTCAAATGGAATTGGACTGTGGCAACTCAGTTTCAAATCCAATACTTGATGATGATGTCTCAAGTGATGAGCTAGAAGAAGTTCTTACAACCTAAGAGCAACAATCACCTCAACTTGTGGCTCAACCTCATCAATAATTAGAAGAAGAAAGGAATTATAATTTGAGGGATGAAAACACCAGAAAGAGGCCAACATGGATGCAGGATTATGATTTAAATAATTCAAATTCTGATGATGACAATGCTCAGTTTGCTTTGTATATAGACAATGATCCAATCACATATGATGAGGCTGTTAAAGAGAAGAAATGGAAAGAAGCAATGGATAAAGAAATTGAGTCCATTGAGAAAAATCATACTTGGGAACTGACAGATCTGCCTAAAGGACAAAAAACCATTGGTGTAAAGTGAGGTTTCAAGATAAAGTTAAATGAGAAGGGTGAAATTGACAAGCACAAAGCTTGTTTGGAAGTAAAAGGGTACAAGCAGAAGTATGGGATTGATTATAAGGAAGTATTTGCCCTAGTTGAAAGGCAAGATACAATCAGGTTGGTGATTTCCCTAGCAGCTCAGAACTCGTGGTCAATTTTTCAATTAGATGTAAAGTCAGCTTTCGTGCATGACAATTTACAAGAAGAGGTGTTCATTGACTAGCCACCTGGTTATGAGAAGAAAGGAATGGAAGAAAAGGTTTACAGATTAAATAAAGCACTCTATGGACTAAAACAAGCACCACGAGCTAGGTACAGTCGCATAGATGCTCATTTGCCAAGCTAGGATTTCACAAATGTCCTTTCAAGCATGCTCTTTATGTCAAGACTGAAGAAGGTAAATTACTCATTGTGTGTTTATATGTTGATGACTTGATATTCACTGGTAATAATGTTAAGATGTTTAATGAGTTTAAGATGTCTATGATGAAGGAGTTTGAAATGACTGATCTAGGATTAGTGCGTTATTTTTTGGGATTAGAAGTCATTCAAACTAGTGCTGGTAATTTCATTTATCAGAAGAAGTATGCACAAGAAATTCTCGAGGGGTTTAAAATGATGGACTGCAAGGCATTTGGAACACCAATTGAACCTGGTTTAAAACTACACAAAGATAATGGTGGAAAGGTAGTAGACAACACCTATTTCAAGCTAATCATTAGTGGTCTGATGTACCTAACTTTTACGAGACTTGACATCATGTATGTAGTAAGTTTGATCAGTAGGTACATGGAAAAGCTATCTAAGGTGCATCTCAATACAGTTAGAAGAATCCTTAGAGATGTAAAGGGCACAGTTGATTATGGCATCTTTTATAAAAGAAAACATGGTACTGGTTTTGTTGGCTATACAGACAGTGATTATGCAGGTGATATAGATGATCGTAAGAGTACCTCTGGACATGTGTTCATGCTTAATTCTGGTGCAATATCATGGTCCTCAAAGAAACAGCAGATAGTGACACTCTCAACAACTGAAGCTGAGTTTGTAGCAGCAGCCTCAAGCTCATGTCAAGCTTTGTGGCTTAGAAAATTGTTTGAAGTGCTTGGTGATGAGCAAAGGGGTTCAACAATCATTTATTGTGATAACATGTCAACTATCAAGCTGTCAAAGAATCCAGTTATGCATGGGAGGAGTAAACACATTGATGTTCGTTTTCATTTCCTGAGAGATTTTTGTAAGGATGGCAAGATTGAGCTGCAGTATTGTAAGAGTGGAGAATAGGTTGCAGACATTCTGACCAAGTCATTGAAGCAACCAGCATTTGAGAAGCTGAGGAATATGCTTAGGGTTTATTCAGTTCCAAGCATTGATCAAGGAGGAACATCAAATGAAGAAGACCATGTGATAGCAAAGAAATCCTAAACTGTTTTTTAGCAAAAATTTGTTTGAGGGAGGGTGTTAAGAGTCATTAAGTTTTACTTTTTATTAAATAAATAGACCTAGTCAAGATAGTATTCGATTTTGTAGGGATTGTGGTTGAGGATGTTCACCACGTTTGATTTTAGTATCCTAAAAATCTGCACATGTTGGTTTGGTAGTTTAGATGATTTCTATTTAAATTGTAAGTCAGTTTTTTCATTATCAATAACGTGTTTTTCATCTTGTCTTTTTTCAGAGAACGTATCTGTATCTTTTATCAAAATTTTAACATATATCACTATATTAAGAAAACATATTGCTTGTGAATGTTAGGATGTTCCCTTAAATGTTAAAAAATTAGAATGTCCTCATCCGCCGTGAACATAACCTTCCATGTCTTGTTCATAAAACAGATTGTTCACAAATATTGAAGTCAAGGTAACTTTTCAAATACAAAACTTAGAAATATGAAATCTGCAGGACCCTTCAACACGAGTTCAAGAAAAAACCATACTATACGGCAATGAAGCATGCATATTGAGCAGTCAACGAAGGATGTCTCTTATGAATTATTCAATATTCGGAAACAAGATTTTACAAATTATTACAACTTTCTGCAATAATTCACCGTGTAGTTATTTGAATTCATGACAAATATATTTTTATTTTTTTTCAATCAATAAACATTTAAAATCACACTTGAAATTTTAGGCAGCATAGGCAACCACGGGACTCCTCACTGTATAGATTCCATCATGCCACACCAAAATCCCAGACAGCATTCTCGAAGTCAATGTTGCTTGAACTGTCACTACAAATGTTTGCTTCTGCCCAATAGATTTGAAAGAAAGAACAGATGGAGAAACTGTAATATTTAGTCCGATTGGTGCTGACGTGATAGCGGAATAAATGGATATTGGTGAACCAACATTTGTGACGGTCCGATGGAAAACACGGGTGATAGAACCACCAGCAGTTGTAGATAATGCAAAAGAAGGATAATTTAGGTCCCAAACTGTACCATTGTTAGATTGAGTGCAAGTGATGTTATTTCCAGTAATAAGTCTCAAGTTCTTAGCGTTGTAACCTTGCCCGCATAGGAATTTGATGTAGTCATTTGCTCCCATGTCGTATACCAAACCAGGACTTTTAGCATTCACTGGATCGATATGACCCGATCCAAATGCAAACTCACCATCAGTGTTTGTAAGCGGACTCATTGGAGCAGCTGGAAGTTAAAAATAAAGACAATCAATGGTTACTCTATGTTTTTATTTTCAGTATTAATAATACAATATATTTGAGGCAATTTGATTTAAGAAATGCTCAACACTTTAGATTTCAACCAAGAGAATTACCTGTAGTCATCAAAGCAGACTTTATAGCGGCTGGAGACCAGGTTGGGTTAAATGATTTAACATAAGCAGCTGCTCCAGAGGCGTGAGGGCAAGACATGGATGTTCCAGATATAATATTGTACGGAACAACTCTACTATCTCCTTCCAATCCAGTAACCGTAGTTAGCTCCGACCATGCAGCTACAATATCCACTCCAGGTGCACTTAGATCAGGCTACAGAAACGCAGAAAAAGAAATCATTAATTAGATAAGCAGTGAAAAATCAAAAATTATATTTAAGTCTTTACATACCTTGAGGATGTCTCTTGTGATTGGATTTGGTCCTCTTGATGAAAAGGAAACCACAAAGGGGGCAGCTTTTTCTACTGCTTCAACACTCTTAGCAATTGTAGCACTTGGGTTACTGTATGATTAGCAATATAATCAGATATTCATTTATATTTGTCAGCTTAATAATTAAAGAATTGTGTAAAATAAATAATAGAAGGATACAATTTTATTTACCTTGTTGTGTTGATATACTTAAGAACTTGGGTACCATCGGTGGATGTCAAGTATGATGCTGATAAGGGAAAGGAGAAGGCGAAATCATTGAATTCATCACTTTGCATTACAGTTCCAATAGCACCCGCTTCTACTTGTGGCGTTCCATCACCCAGCGAATCACATAGGACAATGGATCCATTTACCAGTTTTGCATCTAGAGAGCCGGGTGAGCAATACCTGCAATAATTTATGCATCATTGACGTTGAAAAAAAAAAGTACCACAATTAATTATATAATTTTAGTTCTTCTTTAAAATCTACCTTGACTCGGAGCCATCAGAACCTGGTGCAGGTACATTTCCTCCGTAGACTAACGAGTACGTCTCATTTTGGAGCGTAAATGTGTTTACAGAAACTCCCTAAAAAATATATAATTAAATACCATTTAAGTTAGTGGGCAGTGTGTCAAAATTAATATAAAACAATTCTGATATTAGTTTCACTTTTTATTTAGTGAAGAAGGAATATCTGATTATCACCTCGTAACTTTTACCGTTCCCCAAGAAGACTTGTGTCAGAAATTTCCTGTCGATGACATTGGCAGCAACCGAGAGTGACCAAGGTGAGAAATTTGTGATGCTTTCAGGATCAGGTCCAGAATTACCAGCAGAATTTGATGTGAGTATTCCATTTTTCATAGAATGGAATGCACCAATGGCAATTGGATCGTCAAAATAATCTGAAGGAAAAAACCCTCCTACTGAAAGTGATATAATATCAACTCCATCGGAAATTGCATCATCGAATGCTGCAAGAATGTCAGAATCTGAACAACCATCGGACCAGCAAATTTTGTACACTGCAATGCGCGAAGAAGGCACCCCTCCACGAGCTGTCCCCAAGCCAAGACCTAACAAACTTGCCCCTTTTACAATGCCTCCAGCTGCTGTGGATGCAGTGTGAGATCCATGTCCTTCAGAGTCTCTAGGCGAGGGCACGTCTGGATAACTAATGTTTCCTTCGCTATGATAAAACCTTGCTCCAATTATTTTGCTACAAAAAGTCCATTTTATGTTAGAGAAGTTGACAGTCTTACAACTTAACCTTTAGATGAATGGTTCAACATAGACGACTCATATATCCAAAAATAAAGTTGGGATAACACAGCTCATTATATTATTAAGTACACAGGATATATGTACTTACATAAGTAGATGGGAATTATAATTAAGGTAGCTTACTTATTGCAAGTCAAATTTGAGGAGGCTTGGCAGCTGCCTTTCCATTTGCTTGGAGGAGTGCCAAACCCTTCATCACTGAAACTCTCTGATTCAGGCCAAATCCCGGTGTCTAACATTCCAACAATAATGTCGCTCTCAATTTGTGTTCTTTTAACATCTTGAGGGAAGCCCATAAAGTCCCATGACCTTGTTGTGTGGAGTTGCTTTTTGGTGCTGGGGAATACAGACACAACTTCGTTCATGCCTGAGTACGTATTAGATATAAATAACTTAGACTAGAAGCAAGAAAATCTCAACTGCATGCTACAAATTAATTGATTCACAGATGACATACTAGCAATTTTCTCCTTCTCTTCCTCAGTCAACTTGGCAACAAAGCCGTTGAAGCTTTTGTGGTAGCTGCGGAGCCAAGATTTTGATGCCCTTTCGCTGAATCCATCATATATGTATAGTACAAGTTAGATAATTACTAATTTATTACTTTTCCTATTTCTTGACATAAAAAGAATTTAGAGGCCCACGGTTCCAATATATTTTGAGATCTTAAGCATTTTTTTAATATAAATAGAAGTTAAACAACCTGTCCATAACTGATTGTAGCATGCTCATGTGCATTGACGTAGCAGAGAAATCACTTTTGGAGGGAAGATCACCCATGTATACAATGTATACCTGCATGCAAATCTAAATAGTTAGCCACAAATTACTAATTCAATTTCTTTGCTATTTATACGAAAATACATACATGCATATATATATATACACACACACATATATACATGTTATATGTGTGTGTGCATGTTCTATTTATACATGCCTTTTCCTTGGCATCAGATTGTCCACTGCAACTAATTAGCAGAGTGCATATGAGCGTTACGAAGAGGAGAGGCCATGACTGAGAAATTATGGAAGCCATAGAAAATATTTAATAAAATTGGATTTCCGA